CCCCCCCCCCCCCCCCCTTGAGCAAGGAGGTTCCACATAAGTCAAGAACCCGGTCATGTACACGTGGTGGACTCGTATATAAGTTATCAGATCTATTTCTAAAGGAAAGTAGACAACTTCAATATACTTGTCAATCTTCTTGGTTTTTTTCGAAATCACAGCTTGCGCGTATTCCTTGGGTATATATATACTTGATTGATTCATTTCCAAAATAATGTGGCTAGTTTGTTCCTTGTTTATTTAATGTGTATCTGAGGGATGATTTTCACAGAGAGAAATCATGTGTACATAATACACATACATTAATTATGTCATCATCAAAATCAAACTCTAACAAACTCGTCTTTATTGTGTCAGTTGAACACTCCAACTTACAAAATAATCATCTGGATACCTCCAAGATTTTATGTGTCACGTTAGTGTCGAGTGTCCATGAAACACAATGAGGATGAGTTGGACGGTATAGTTGTTTGTTGAAACCAAGTTGAAGTGTCTAGATGTGCATTCACAAAGTTAGAGTGTTGAGCTCAAATTTGGGCGTTCGTTTATGTTTTATACCTATATTATAAGCATCATTTTGCCTCGTCTTCTTGAAGTAGATTTAATCATGCTCGAGTTGTTAGGTACAACAACAACACCTCAATCCAAATAAGTTTGAATCAATTATATGAATCCTCACTATTTCATTAAATCTCAAGTGATGATCGATTAGTTAGTGTTGGTGATTGTGAGCATTTTAATATTATTAAAGTGGCTTATGTACCTTAATGGTGCATATTGACATAATACATAAATATGACCCTTAATACACGTAGGATGTCATGTAGGCCACAAAATTCTATGGTAGAATGTGGCTAACACATTTTCTCATTTTATCTATTATGCCTAAATCTTATTGCTCTATATGTGAGTATTGACAACATTTTATGTCCATTACTCACATGAGTTAATATGGTAGAATGTGGCTAACACATTTTCTCATTTTATCTATTATGCCTAAATCTTATTGCTCTATATGTGAGTATTGACAACATTTTATGTCCATTACTCACATGAGTTAATATGGTAGAATGTGGCTATAATTTCCCCTAACACTGGTAACCTCTAACTCATTATTCACCTATTATTCTACCTCATTATGGTTGTAACTTATGTAACATTTAGGCTATTCATTTACCCAATTTACTACCCAATATCTTCCTATTCATTGCGAGGAAGAATTCTTCACTTATAAATAGGGTGGTCTTACTTTGTGTTGGGGATATGAGAGTGAGAAGTGGTGTATTGTGTATATATTGAGTTAGTACAATGAAAGAGAGAGTTGAGACAAAGAATAATATTCTAAGTCTTAAACTATACTCACTATATAAAAGAGAGTACTAATAATATGTTGAAGGAAAGTGTTCTTATGTGGAGGCTTGAACTCTTCACCTAATTCGGAGTTATTTGAATTGTACGACGTTGTTGGGTTGTTGTATCCTGAAGGGGACATGTCAAGAGTGATATGGCTAGATCGGTGTAGATTATGCCACAGTGGACTTGAATCTCCTTAAAAAGAGCGAGATATCCACACCTCAGCCTAAAGATTTGCTTATTCATTTTTGTCATTTTATTCTCAACTGTAATCAATTGTATTTATGGTACAGTTAGTTGCTTTAATAATTTGTTCCTAGCTAGAGTTGTTTGGATTTGACATATGGTGGTGATTTATATAGAATCTAATGCTACAATTTTGATGTGTGTGTAAATACTTGTATTCCTAAGAACTTTTGTACATTGATAATTCTATTAATTGTTGAAACAACTCATTTTGAATCTTTCAAATAGTAATTGGAACAAAAATGTATGTAATTTAGATAAACCATTCTCTATAGAATGATGCATAAAACTAATTATAATTTGACAGAGTACAAGCTTAAAATATACAAGTTAGGAGTCTAACTCAAATCCTTGCCACCTTGAGGTAGATTAATTTTTGAGTTGTCTTTTATAAGAACTAGTCTTACGATACGTGCTTTGCGTATGTACTTATATCTCAATTTTTTAAAGTTACATTATATTATTCTCTTTGTCCTAATTTATGTGATCAAATTTTGAGAATCAAACAAATTATTAGCTATTGTAACTTACATTTTTTTTATGTAGTCTCCAAATATATATATATATATTATCTAGAAAAAAACTAAAAAACTATATGTCCAAATACATTATCAAAATTAAAAAGTTCGAATCACGAAAACCAAAAAATATCACATAAATAAGAATAGGGAGAGTACTAAATAAAGTATTTGACTTCTCCAACATACCATATTGCATCTCACAACCTTTCCTCTTTTGCAAGATTAATTATTACTTTAATAATCCTTCCATCTCCAACGCACCTCTATTTTACTCTCCATTCTCTATATTTGGAGAGTAAAAAGGAGAATGCCCTCTCCAATCATTCTCTAAATGACTCTCTATTCTCCATTTATAGAGAGGTGAATAGTAGTTGGAGAACTACTATTCACCTCTCTATTTCACTTTTTTATTATTTTATTATTATTTCTACTATTTTGTAATTAACTTATATTATTTTTCATATAAGACCATTAATTATATCTCTAATTATAGTAATTCATTTTAATGTTATATAACATTTTTAAAAATAGATTATTTAATTTATACTACTTTCATCCCGAATTAATAATGTCTCAATTTTTTTTAATTTTTGTCACTTTAATATAGTTTGATATCATAATTAATTTTCACTATGACGAATGCAAAAAATTAAAATGATAAGATGAAAATTTTAATTTAAAAATATAATACATAACATAATAATTTAAATACAAGATGAGAATACATAACATTATAATTTTATCACAACGATAATTTAGTAATGGTCGTTTTTCAGATTTAACAATATTCGGAAAAAATTAGTGTATGATCCACATAATTAGTGTAGTTGTGATTGCGGTTGTGCTTGTTGAATTCTTTCTTTAATTATTCGTAGTTGTTCTTGTTGCATGAAAATCTCCGATTTGAACAATCTTTAGCTAGACATAAAATAATTAAGGATAAAAATGCTCATTTTGAACTCCGTAGTGCATTAATAGAGCATTTATGAGAACAATGTAATAATTTTGAAAGTAGAGTATTTATGTAATTATATTTCATTAATAATTTCACTTTTATTTGAATTTTCCATTGATTTGTATATTATATAATATTAACTTGCAATTTATGTTATTTAGAAATTTAGAAAAAAATATAATTTTATATTAAGTAAATAATTTGAAAAAATAAATTTTTATATTACATGAAAATTATATAAAGTGATTATTTGAAAAAAATAAAAAAATAAATACGTATATTATGAAATAAGAAAATAAGAATTAAATATAAATAATAATATAATATTAAGGAGAGAAAAAAAGATTCATTTTTAGAGAGTAAAATAGAGAATTGGGTAGGAGTCTGAAAAAATAGAAAACTTTATACTTGGAGAGTAAAATAGAGGTTAGGGTTGGAGAAGCCCATATTACAAAGGTGCAAATTTAAATCAATTGAATTTGTGAATTTCGAATATCATATAAAATATACAAAACATTGAGACCTCATAACTTTTGTGAGAGTTTTATAGGCTCGGTTATTTATATCGACTTTATTTTTTTTTTAAAATTGCAAATATAATATATGTAGCTACTCTGATTTTCTCTCATACGACCCGTTTTTTGAAAAGCTTTGTAACAACTTTCTAAAAAGATTTACAGTCAAGTAAGCAACTTGTAAATAAATTTAAAAAGTTTTACAACTTCCTAAAAAGCCTTGCTCTTTTTTACCTTTTATAAATAGAAAGTTAGATCATTTTTTAGTAAGGACGCATGAGAACCTTTTTAGTACCATAAATATTAGTATATCTTTTTTAAAGACAAACGTCAAAAAATTTACCTCCATACAAAGAATTATAACATATCAAAGATCACAAAAATATTATTTTCTTGTTAATTTTCGTATCAAATCAAACTTTGTCACGTAAATTAGAACTAAAAAATATCTTTTTTTCTTCTCCTTTGGGCTTTGGGACGTGCAAGTAAAGTAGAAAAAGACCCTTGTTGACTTCCAAGTCTTTATTTGAAAAAATCAAAGAAATAATCCTTCCATCAAATTCTTCCACAATTCTTTTCTCTAGTTCACACACAAAAAACAAATATATGGTAAAGTAATAAATATTTTTAATTGGTAACCAGAAATTTTGAATTCGAACTCTTTATTTATTAAGTACACGTCTTTGTTAGTAAATATTTTCTTCACCCTAGTATAAATTTTTTTTAGTATGAATTTAAATTTAGTCTACTCCAATATAAATATCAACACTAACTAAAAATCATTCAAATTTAGTCCATCTCAATATAAATATCGGATACCTGATCTCGAAAAATCAAAAAAAGTTGGAAGTTAAAAAAGAAAAAAGAAAAAAAAAAGAGACTTCCCTCACCAAACGACCCATTAATGAATATAAAATTTCCCTTTCATTTTTCCCTCTTTCTCTGTTTCTACAACTTTGGCAGCAGCTGATCAGTTTGCACCGGCGATATCTTTTTCCGACTCAAAATCCGGCGAATTCAGACCGTTCAGAGCTCAGAAGGACGTTGTGAGTATTCTTTTCTTCTTTCTATTTTCACTGAGATTCAACGGTTGTGGCAGGCGGTAAGTAATCCTTCGAGGTATCGAGTTTGAGCTTTAGAAATGAAGTTCTTTTGATAGTGAGCTCGTTAATTTGAGCTGAATTTGGGTTGAATCAATAAATGGGTTGTTGTGATGGGCTAAACAATGGGTCATAGTTCAATTCGTCCAATTTGACCTATTACCTGTACAAATTTCAAACTCACATACTATGGTGTTATGTATAAAAATAAGATAAAAATAGCATATGATATCTGGTATTGTTTTGTTTTTGTAAATGTGACTAGGATTTGATAATTGTTTAATCTTCCTGTTATGAATTTTGCAATGTTTAAATTTTTTTCTTATTTTATTTTAGTGCAACTTTCAGGATAGATAAGATTTAGTTGCTCACTTGGGCTGAAATGGGCGGATTATGATTTCATGGGCTAATTTTGTCATCCTTAGTGGTGATGGTGGGTAGTAGCTAGTGATGGTGGTGACTGGTGCCTGGTAGAGTGGTTAACAATGGTGGTTGATGGTGGTGGTTACCGATAATTGTGATGGATGGTAATAATAGTTAATAGGGGTGGTGACTAATAGCGGTGATTGGTGATGGTGGCAGTTGCCCGTAAATCATAATGATTGGTGGTTATTGTGGTAATGCTAGTTGGTGGTGATGGTTGTAAATGATGGGTGATGGTGGATGATGACGGACAGTGGTGATTGAGGGGATGGTAGTTGTGGCTGAGGACGGTGATTGTGGGGTTGTGATAATTGATATTGGTGGACAACAATGATGACAACGATTAGCAGTTGTCCCACCCTTTTTTTAAAAAGATTTTCATATTTTTCAAGATTGAAAGTGACAAAATTGTGTTTCTAAAACAAGTCCGACTCCAGTCTCCAAATGACTCATCATCAACCGGGATTCGGTTAAGGAGTTTTGTTGACCGGGGTGAAGGAGTTGGGCACCCCTCAAGTATCATGGTTCTAGCGCGGTCGTTTTACTGACTCGTATTGGCTTAAAATAGAAACTCAACTAAACAAACTCACAGACACACAAGCGTGCGCACAAAAAAGGTGTTTTAAAACAATGTCCGAACTATCACAGTCCAAAACAAACTATTTTCTTTTGCTCTTCTCTAAATGCTCATAACAAAGCTAGTTTCTTCTCTAATAGTACTTCAATTAATCCTCTCACATTGTTTCTATGTTGTACAGCTCATTTGGCAAAAATGGAAAGAGCAACCCCTTCAATGTTATGTAGTCACTTTGTTATTTTGTTGATCCTACTTCTACCAGATACATCAGTGGCTGAACCAAGATCCCAGATAGTCCAGCTCATATGTGAAAACGGAACGACAGTTTCCGTCTCAAATTTTGTCAATACAATGGAAACTATAAGTGAACAAATGAGAACTAGAGGAAATGGAGTAGCAGCTACAGGCACTGGACCAAATGCTAGCTATGGACTTGGCCAATGCTATGGTGATCTTTCATTACCCGACTGTGTCTTATGTTTCTCTGAAGCGCGAACTGTTTTTCCCAATTGCTTCCCTAGTAACAAGGCGCGAATTTATCTTGATGGTTGCTTTATGCGAGCGGACAATTACAACTTCTATGACCAGTATTTTGGTCCAGAGGACAGGCATGTATGCGGAAACAGGACGACAAAGGGTTCATTGTTCCAGCAGAATGCTAGGCGAGCCATTCAGCAAGCAGTTGCAAATGCACCGAGTAACAATGGTTACGCACGTGCTCAAGTGTCAGTGCCCGGGTCTTCCACCATGACAGCTTATGTTCTCGCTGATTGTTGGAAGACTGTGAGTGCAAACTCCTGCGCAGCGTGTTTGCAAAATGCATCTGCATCCATGCTGGGATGCTTGCCTTGGTCAGAAGGTAGAGCTCTGTACACTGGATGCTTCATTAGGTATTCTGATACAAATTTTCTCAATGCTATTTCTACCAGTAGAGGCTCATCAAGAGGTAATCCTTGCTCTTTTTTTGACCCGATTTGCCTGTTATTTATCGACAAAACACTCAATTTTGCCGATAAGTGATCTTTTTTTTAACTTTCAAATCACCACATTGCAGGAAAAGTTGCAGTCATTGTCATTGTTGTTGTTAGTTCCTTTGTCGTTTTGGGAGTAGGTGCTTTCATTGGTATTGGTGTCTGGAAGAACAAACAAATCCAGAAGAAGAGAAAAGGTGAATCCTTTTCTGCCAAAAATTAGTTATAAAAGTCATTAGGATATTGTTGATGAACATATATTGTGTATTTTGCTAAAACTGGTTTGGAAAAATCAGAATAGCAAAAAGAATTGGCTGACCATATATCTTGTGAAATGCACACACTGTACTGAAGACAATTTTCAAGAATTAACTTGTGGCGTTATGGCCTACTCGTGCTTTTTCCTGGGAAATTTTGAATTTGTTAGGGGCAAATGATGCTGAGAAATTAGTGAAGATCCTTCATGACATCAGCTTAAACTTCAAGTATTCGACTCTTGACAAAGCCACAGGGTCATTTGATGAGGCCAACAAGATTGGGCAAGGTGGATTTGGCACGGTTTATAAGGTATGTAATGGTTGAATTGTTTGAATTCGTTGATTGTCCGTAACAGTAATGCAATACTAGAAGTATTGGCTATTAAATAGAGTCTGAGGCCCGATTTGTTGCAGGGTGTTTTGGCAGATGGGAGAGAGATTGCTGTCAAAAGGCTATTCTTCAACAACAAACACAGAGCTGCAGATTTTTATAACGAGGTTAACATAATCAGTAGCGTTGAGCACAAAAATTTGATAAGATTATTGGGATGCAGCTGCTCAGGACCAGAAAGCTTTCTTGTATACGAGTTCCTCCCTAACCAGAGTCTTGATCGCTTCATATTTGGTAAGTAACCAGATTTTGCAACAACAACAACTACTACGCGTCATCCCCAAACAAGTCAGGGGTCTGCTATATGAATCCTCACTTCTATTTAAGCTATATTTGTGTCGTCATTGCACCAACTAAAAATAGATGTGAAAATAAGTTGAATATAAGTAACCACCTTTGCTTACAGTTTTCACATAACCACATCAGAATTATTTTGTCACATATCTTGATTCTATCTTTAAAATTGACAGACCCTACCAAAGGTAAAGATCTAAATTGGGAGAAAAGATTTAAGATAATTATAGGGACTGCAGAAGGTTTGGTATACCTACACGAGAACACAAGGACACGAATAATTCATAGAGACATAAAAGCAAGCAATATCCTGTTGGACTCGAAGCTCCGTGCAAAGATTGCTGATTTTGGGTTGGCCAGGTCATTCCAAGAAGACATAAGTCACATAAGCACTGCCATTGCTGGCACATTGTTAGTATCTCTTCATCTCGTCTTCTACTTTTTTTGCGTAAAAGTACACAAATACATGAAAACTAATATGGTCTAATATGCAGAGGATATATGGCTCCAGAATACTTGGCACATGGCCAATTGACAGAAAAAGCAGATGTTTACAGCTTTGGAGTTCTTCTAATGGAAATTGTTACTGGAAGACAAAATAACAGGAGCATAAATGATGAAAATACAAAAAGCTTAGTTTCCATTGTAATTGTTCATCACCATTTCTTTTCTTACCAAAGTTTTCAATCTTGAAGAACTTTTTGCATATTTTTCTCAACTCTTATAATGGATGAAATTAACAGGTGTGGGATTACTATCAACGCGGTATAGTGGAGGAACTATTCGATCCAAATCTCATGTTGCACAACTACAACACCATCAATGTGAAAAATGAGGTCGCGAGAGTTTTGCATGTGGGGCTTCTGTGCACTCAAGAGATCCAAACACTACGTCCATCCATGTCTATGGCATTACAGATGATCCTCGAGAAAGAAGAAGAGTTGCCGGCTCCTACTAATCCACCATTTGTTGATGAGAACACCATGGAACTGCATGGGGCTTGGGAGAAATATCCGCTTAGTCAAGGTGATTCTAGTTCGATTGCCAACTTATCTCATAGTTCTTTTTACCCCAGATGATGATATTCCAATGCCCTGAAACTGATGCAAAAATTATAAGCATCATTTCGCCTCATGCTCTTGACGATCATCATGATCGAGAAGTTAGTTATAACAACAATTGTGAATCAGTTCCAAACAAAAGTTGGGGTCGGCTATCTGAATTCTCAATTCCATTTAAGCTTCGTTAGCACAGGAATATGATTGTATAGGATCTCCTTCATGGAAAAGGATTGTAATGTAGTATGTATAAATATGGCTCAGTGTAATAACATAGTTTGTGTCTTAATAATATTTTTCGAGTGTTTATTTCTTATATGGTATCAGAGCTTTGGTGAGAAATATTTGGGGGGAAAACAAAGTTGAACAGTCACTGTGCATCAAGTTGAACAATGACATTTCTATAAGTAGGCATTAGTTATACACCTCGATAGTTCAATTCTCCCTCGTGTCTTTGAGAGCATATGTTTTGTTTATAAATTAGCCCCTCATGCTTTTAAATGTGTCTTTTTTCATTGAAAATGTTTTTGTGAGCCGAACATCTTATCGAGAAAAAACAAACCATCCACTTCTCCCAAGATAGTTATAAGGCCTACCTACACCGGCTTTTCTACACTCCACTTATGAATCACACCAGATATATTATTGTTCAATGGCGAAATTAGAAAATTTGTCAAGAGGTGTTCATATTATGTATGTCTAGAAATTAGAAAGTAATTGTAACATCCGACAATTTGAAATAGCTAAGAAGAGGCTTAGAATTTGAAAATTTTCATTTTTGGAAAGGATTTGAAAATTTGGAAAATTGGCTAAGTGTGGAAATCAGTGATTTTTGGCCAACTTTGAGCAGTCATAACTTCCAGCTCAGGATGAGTTAGGAGTAGTTCCAGTTATGGTTGTGAAGCTTGTGGAATGATCTTTCCAACGCCGCCGAGTTTGCTCAATTCCGAGTTCGTATGAGCGAGTTATGGCCGTTTGAAAGTTGGGCAGTTGACAAGAAAATCCGTCCGGGAATCATTAAGGGCATTTTGGTCTTTTCCCTAGCTAATTCTTTTGAGGATATATTGTTGTGTTAGGATGATATTTGGATCATTTTGTTCCATTTTAAGAGAGTGAAGGCTAGGGCTTGAGAGTGAAGAAGAGA